GCAGGAGAATTGCAAGGTTCACTGTACAGTGAACCCCTGTTTCAGAAAGTGAGAGAGAGCAAAAGAGAGTGGAGAAAAGGAATTTAAAATTAAAACTTACTTATACATAAGTGAATTTTAGAGTCATGATCCCTAGTTAAGCCATATTAAGTATTTCAATAAAAGTAATATTATTTCAAACCTAGCCTCCACTCTCCCTGTTGCTAACATAAGGCAGTGGAATTGTGCTTCATACCTGTGAAGCTTAGGGGTGTATGTATGTGTGTATATGTGTGTGCACGTGCCCTCTCAGGCACACATATGTAAAATACTACATATATTAAAATGATAGCATTCCTATAGAGATCAATCTGTATATAAAATTCTATACATGTACAAAAATCATTTTTACCTTACAAAGAGGATAGCATCTACACATAAAATATTGTATACACAGACACCTACACATGGAAAGAGAAAAACCATGCATTACCCATAGTGCAGCATGTTCCTTGGTTGCCAAATGCAATCACGAATGTCACCAATCTGGAAAACTCTCCAGATTCAAGAATTTGAACACTAAAAGAAGCCAAAAAAAAAGTGGGGGAGGCACTCCACCCAAGAAAGAAATCGTGTTTCCTGTGCCAAAACAAACTGAATTCCTACTCCAAGGGCCGGGGCTTTCCATTGAAGCCCCTTCCACTCATCAGGCTCAGCAGACGGCAGACAGCTCTTCCTCAGCTTCAGAAGCAACAAGACACCAGCCCAGTGTTGAAACAAGGTCAATTTTGGTTTCAAGGACAGGAGCCCAGAGGTAAGAGATATTTTCCAGAAATCTAAGTGGTGTTATTTAGGGTATGTGCCCCAATGTTTTCATACTGGGCATCCCCCTAGTCTTGAAGGAGGCATTGACTTTGACAGAATTTAAAATACAGTTACTTTTTTTTTTTCCTTTCCTGAGACAGGGTCTCACTCTGTAGCCCAGGCTAGCCTTAAACATACTACATAGACAGAGTGGCCTCAAACTCATCACCCTTCTGCCTCAGACATCCAAGTACTGGCTGGTATTATAGATGTGTGTCACCATACCCAGCTCAAAACCACTGCTTTAATAAAAACAAGCAACAAAAAATTCATAAATAGAATAAGAGCAGACTAGAAAATATGCTTATAACATCTATGATGAAAGGAGATACTGCAAGGCCATTGCCATGTTTGTTGTTTATTTTTGTTCTTTTAAGAGTTTAAAAGTACCTCCAATGACTTCTTGGTGTTTTGGTTAAAATCAGGTGAAAAGGTGTCTCCAGAGGAAGATGCAAAATGATCACACCCAACAGTAAACACACACAAACTACTCAAACATATTTGTACCCCTGACCTACGTTAAAGGGCTCATAGCAGTCATTCTGTATGCACCTAGGGCCCCATGTGATCCAGCTCAGGACCCCTGTCTTACGACACAGACAGGAAGGCAGGCTGCAGGGAGAGTGCTCTGTGAAGAGCTGTCATAGAAGAACCAAGAGCACCAGGGTCCCCTAGTCTGAGGACATAGGGTTGGGGGAGTCGCTGTCTCTGTCCCTCCCCTAAGGGAGGGGACATTCTCATATACGTCTGAAGTCAGGAGAGGAAGACAACAGAGGACGAGCAAACAGTCATTATCATGGCTGCTCTGAGGATGCATGCAGGACATGCCAGCTCCTGTGCTGGGTGCCTAGAAGGTTTCTGCACATTCTCAAGGGAAAGCCGGCTCCGTGAAACAGCACCTTGACCAAACACATCTCTTCCATTGACCACATCCGTCCCCCAGCACATAAACCAAAGTCCATTAGACTCACATCTAAGACATCATTTCTTCTTTGATAGAACACGCTGGTTAGAAGTTTTCTCTTCCCATTATTTACTTAAAGCAGTGGCAAATACAGAACTAACATTTCAGGACAAATAGCCAACGAGCCTAAAAATAATTTATTTTTATTCCCTATTAACTGCGCTAAGCACCTTGCTATTTAATGGAAGACTTTATAAATCACCATAAAAGAGAAATATTCCCAGAGCCAACTTTAGAAAAGATCCCATCCGTCACCATAGTGCAAATTTCCAGTCACTGCTAGAGCCCTCAGGGGGCTGGACCAGGACACTTGGGATGGTTCATCTTCACTGTCAGCCTAATTGAATTTAGAATCACCTTGCACACAGCTCTGGGCATGTCTGTGAGGATGTTTTTAGAGAGGGAAGAATTCACTCTGGATGGGATGACACCTTGCCACTGGCTGAAGGCCTTGATTGAGTATAGGGGAACAAAAGGAAAAAGGGCTCCCATCTATGCCCTGTCCAGCCAGAAAGTGGACAGGTTTCTTCCACCACACACTGCCGTTCCACATATTTCCTGCCCAAACATGCAGGAGCAAAGGACCAGAGGTGGAGCCCTCTGAACTGTGAGCCAAAATAGAGCACCCTTCAGTTATAGCAAGCATTTTAGTCAAAGCAATGAGATGAAATCAGCTCCTCACCAAATACCGAAATCTGGTGCACCCCTTCAGTGTGCTAGGTATTTTTCCCCACAACTCTGCAAGACCAAAACTGATGCTGATGTGGGTGACTTCTTCTGCACATGGAGATGTAAATAGTTGTGTCTAGCTGAATGCAGTTGGCTGCTGATCCCTTTAAAGATTTGTCCCTGCATCTCAGGTCTGACTTTATGTACACTGGAACACCTTATGGTGTCCTTGTCAGTCAAGACTTAATAATAAAATCTTTAGCACGTTCAGTTTTTGTCACCATGAGAATCAGGACTGAGCTTTCTTCAATGATTCCTTTAGCATCACAGGAGGCTATGAATGCCCAGCCAATCGGAAACTACAAAGCAAAGTTTCTATGTCTTAGGACATCACTAATTTGCAGAGGCGGCATTTGTGACAGGATCGTGAATGGGTCATCAGAATCTACTGTTTGAGAGTTGCCACTGGCTGTGAAGTTCCATGGCCCACTCACAGACTCAGTTTCCCTTCTCTGAAGCAAAGGTGGTAGTCCCTAACATCTCTGCCGTCTATGTTTCTCCACTGTCAAACACATCTGGCTCTGTCTTTGAACAAAAGACTTAGGATGCAGCACCGATGTAAAGCTCTGTCCTATTGCAAAGCACAGCACAGCACAGATCCACAGCATCCAAACTTGAATTAAGATACAGCTGCTGACCCATTCCTCCCTCCCTGTGAATAGGGGATGCTCCCAAAAGCCAGACCCTATACTCTGTGAGAAAAAGCTACCACACTGCTCAAGATTGGAGGGAAGACCATGACTCAAGTCTCTTATAAGGTCAGAGAGGCAGGTGTACTGTGTGAGCCTACAAGCCCAGGCTGGCTGCAGCTACTGTCAGATGCACTAGGGCTTCTAAGGGGGTGTGTAGGAAATTATCCTACAGCAGAAACTACCATCTCAACCCCAAATGATCACTAATTAATCAAGCACCAGAGAAAACAAATACAGCAGGCCTTGTCAACTTGAATTTTTCAAAGGAAAAAGAAATGACTGAATTGACACACTGAAGTCCATAAATTCTGCATAAATACATGCGTAGATATTCAGAATATGCATATTCTTCCTTTTAACTGCCAGCAGGGAGAATCTCACCAAATAGTATGAAACTTCAGGATGCTGTTCATTTGCAAGCCTCGTTGACCTTGGTTTATTTGGCAGGAAGGACAGAGGGTGAAAAGGCTCCACTCTCTGGCCACAGCTTTGGAACAAGCCCACTGCTCATGTCATGGGGTATCTTTAAGGAGGCTCTAAGAAGTGTCTGCAGAGCTGAGGTGGGGAAGAACGGATGCTCTGGCTTCCAGCTCATGACAGTTCATCTCAGCTGTCAACTTGACTGGATTTAGAGTCAGTCTTGGAGGCACAGGGCCATGTCTGTGAGGACCATTCCAAAGAGACTTGCCCTAAATGTGGGCAGCACCTTCCAATTGGCATTAATCTTGATTGTCAACTTGATGGGATCTAGAATCACCATGGAAACAAGTCTCTGGGCATGTCTGTGAGGAATTTTCTAGATTGGGCTCAGTGAAGTGGAACAACACATCTTAAGTGTAGGTGACACCATTGCTTGGTCTGGGGTCCTGGACCAAATAAAATGGAGAAAAGGAGCTGAAGACCAGTATTCCTCTCTCTCTCTCTCTCTCTCTCTCTCTCTCTCTCTCTCTCTCTCTCTCTCTCTCTTGCTTGGTTGCAAATGCAACATGACCAGTGCCTCATGCTCCTGCCACCATGCCTTCCCTGCAGCGGTTGGTGTACTGTCAAACTATGAGTTAGCCCATCCTTAAGGTGTTCTTAACAGGTATTTAGTCACAGCAATGAGAAAAGAGACTACTTATAGTTCAAAGAAAAAGAAGTGGTCACCTTTCTGCTCTTCTTCTTCTCCTTTTCCTCCTCGTTCTTCTTGTCCTTCTTTTTCTCTTCTTCCTTCTTCTCCTCTTCCTTCTCCTCCTTCTTCCCCTCTTTCTTCTTCTCCTCCTCTTTTTTCTTCTCCTCCTTCTCCCCCTTCTCCTTTTTCTTCTTCTTCTCCTTCTCCTCTTTCTTCTTTTCCCCTTATCCTTTTCCTTCTTCTCCCCTTCTCCTTTTCCTTCTCCTTCTTCTCCTCCTTCTCCTCTTCCTTCTTCTCCTCTTTCTTCTCCTTCTTCTTCTCCCCCTTCTCCTCTTTCTTCTTCTCCTCCTTCTCCTCCTCCTTCTTCCCTTTCTTCTCCCCTTCTCCTCTTTCTTCTCCTCCTTCTTTCTTCTTCTCTTCCTTCTCCTTCTCCTTCTTCTCCCCTTCTCTTCCTTCTTATTCTCCTTCTCTTCCTTCTCCTCTTCTTTCTCCTCCTTCTCCTCTTCCTTCTTCTCCTATTTCTTCTCCTTCTTCTCCCCCTTCTCTTTTTTCTTCTCCTTCTCCTCCTCCTCTTCCTTCTTCTCTTCCTTCTCCTCTTCCTTCTTCTCCCCCTTCTCCTCTTCCTTCTCCTCCTTCCCCTTCTCCTCTTCCTTCTCCTCCTTCTTCTCTTCCTTTCTTCTCCTCCTCTTCCTTCTTCTCCCCCTTCTCCTTTTCCTTCTTCTCTGAGTACATCTGTCAGATATGCTACCATCCTCCCCTGATGTCCAACTTCAGCTTCTTCAGCTTCCCAGTGGGGATTAGAAGTCAGCAGTTCTCCAGCTTCCAGGCTTGCAGCACTGGATTGGGACTTCTGAGGCATCTGCAGCATATAGATAATCATGGTCAGTCTAACCAACCAGTATCAGATAAGCCGGTCTAACAAGCCCCCTTTTATCAAATACATACATTCTATCTGCTCTGCAGTGTGAGTGTGCCATGGGTTGTTGTTGGATCCTATTCCTTTAGATGAGTCCCTAAGGTGACAGAGGAGGAGTCACTTGGGTCCTCCCATTGCAGGGGCCACACTGCCTAGAAAGCCAGGTACACAGAAGTGGCTGCACACAGGTAAGTCCCAAGCACACAGAAGTCCCAGCGATCTTTATATACACTTTCAGCCTGGTTTCATTCTGTTTCCCTAGAGGACAATGTCTAGTCATTTGCACATTCATTATTCGAACTCCACGTTTCTAAATTCTTTCACTGTACCCTATCAATCACCATGACTATGTTTTTGAAACAACTCCTTTCTGGAGGCCAGATTTTCGGCGTCACCACTAACCAAAGAAAAATCACATTTTAGCTAGGAAAGTCCACTATCATCATTTAGGTTGTCCCTGGAGCTATTAAACCCCTGTCCTAGAAGCTGTATATATTTTATGGCCCACTTCCTGTTAATAGGCCCTAAATCTTTTGCAAAAGAGTTGTCATTAACCAGAGGAATACTTTCCAGCCATTGGGCTTCTTTCTCAAAGCCTTGCGGATCCCGTGTCTCTTCTGGGATTGACACATTCAGCTCCTTATTTGGGCTGTCAACAAGCATTTCCACCAGAGGCCAGGAGAACCTGTCTTCAACTTCATTTCCTCCTACAACCATGCCTTTCTACTTTTTCAATGTGAGTTCATTCTGTAATTTAGATGTCACATATAATAGCACTTGTCTCTCATGCAAAACATGTGCTGAAAACCAAAGGACAGCTTCCTAGAAGATGCTCATTTGTCCCTGCATGAGATATGAATGGAGTTTTGTAGCCAGAAATCCTTCTGTTTGGAGAAAGTAGATAGATATGTAGATAATGATAGTGATACTAGACAGACAGATGTTAGATAAATAATACATAGATAATAGGTATGTAGCTAAATACATGATAGAAAAAAACAGATAACAGATAGATGATAGATAATAGATGATTGCTAAATGGTAGACAGAAAAATAAATGATATAATGTATTATTTATAATTATTTGTAAATTATATTATACACTGGTTCAGATCTGTGTAATTGAATACCATTCAATCTTTACAAAAGAGACCCTGCATCTAACAGATGAAAATAAACAGCGGACAATATGTTAAGTTAAATAAGTCACAGAAGAAAAAAATACCACATATTCTCACTTATGAGTAGAAGTAAGCATACTCTAATAACTTAAAGAGTGAGGCTGTGGTTATCAGGCTCAGAGAGAAGGCGCTTGTCACCAAGCCTGACAACTGAGTTTGATCCCTCGGACCCAAAGAGCACCAACTCCTACAAGGTATCCTCTGGCCTCCACATGAAAAATAAATAAATAAATAAACAAACAAACAAACAATACATTTTAAAACTGTGATCTCCAGGGACAAGAAGAGGAAGGATAAAACAGAGAGGGTACGGGGTGCAGGCAGAGCCGCCTGAAGTAGCAGGAATTAGTATGGGCATCACAGGTCCAGCACAAGGACCGTGTCACAGTGTTGTACGGATATTGGAAATTCACTGAGAGCACCCAATTTAAATGTTGTTACAATACTTGTGAGCAAGGTTGTTCCACACGGAGCAGACATGTTAGCCTGCCTGGCCACAGGAGCCATTTTTCTGGGTATATCCAACTCTGTGGTATTCGTTTTGTAAATATCCACCCCCAAAACACCAAGAATAAAGAGGAAAACCCTTTTCCCTTAAGAACTATGTGTGGTAAAGCTTGTAACTTTTAAGAACTGTAGAGGGTGGATGGTTCGGACAGTGTCGCCCCAGAAACGAAAGTATGAGCACAGTAGAGCCTCACTGACGTCACAGTACTTCTTCGCCGACCCCTTTGTTCTGCTGTGTCCACCATCTGCAAGACAGCAACCTTCCTCCCGCATTCCTTGTCCTCAGCCACAGCTGGGAAGTCCCCAGGGAAGCCTGTGAGATCTGGTAGTCTCTAGTTTCCTGTGGTGATTTGGGACTTAGTGTCCAGGAAGGATGGACAAACCTCAAATCCCAGCTGAGGCTCCATGCTTGTCTCTTCCCAGGCAAGATTGTGAAGGTTTTATATATTTCTTTTTCCTCTAGCTCTCTCAGCTCTAGAAGCAAAGATCTCAATCTTGGAGCAGGCTGCATCAAACCTGAGTGGCCAGGAGGTCCAACCTCCCTGGAAAGGGTCTAAGCCTCAGAAAGATTGGGAGATTTGAACCTTCATCTGTGTCCACACACAATGTGACCAGGCCTGGTTCGTCTGTGATGTGTTTGAGAGCTAACTTAGACCTGAGAGAACTAGAATGTGGGTTACATTCCAGGGTTACCCTGTCCTGTCTGTATTTGTTCTTTGCCCTAGAGAGCTCTGAGTTGAGGGCAAGAGACATCACTACTTTTCTCCCAGAGATATTTGAGCAGTGCAGAAAGGGAACATATCCTTTCTAAAACATCCCCACTCCTCCATTCAGAATTCTGTGTGGAGATGGTGTTGTAGCTCAGTGGTAGAACAAGCACGCCCCATGTACAAGACCCAGAACAGTCATACCACATGGGCAAGACCCTGGGTTTGGCTCCCAGCAGCAAAATATGAAGAAAAATTTAATCAGTCTAGACATGCCCTACCACCATGAGACACCTTTAACCTGCTGCCAGATCTCCCTTCTTCAGACAGTGTTTTGAGAGTCTGCAAGAACCAAGCCAAACTCCCCCTTTGTGGGAGAGTTTATCGAGTTGAGTATAGCCAATGATCTATGCCCAAAAACCCATCTCCAAATACAGGCCAGTGGAACTAGTCAATGTCTGTGCAAACATTGTAAGACACAGTAGAATCAGACTTCTCCATTCTTCCACCTGACTAGGCAACCCCTCCACCCCTGTCCCCTGAAGCAGCTATGCCTTGTGGTTTCTCTCCCTTCAGATCTTTATATTGTTCATGGCTGTAGCTCATTCTCATATTTCTGATTAAAAAAAAAAACCTTCACTAGAGAAAGCATCCTCAAATAGATGTGTTAGAAGGACCCTTCTCCCTTACTCCCATTCCCCATTCTGCCTCATTTGCTGCAGCAGTTTTAGCAATATTATTATTATTATTATTATTATTATTATTATTATTATTATCTGTACTTCATACAATGGGAAGGGAGATGTCCTTTTTACATGTTAATAGATAGATGTTCCACAAAAGAGGAGACAGGAACCAAAAATGTATAAAACATTGCTCATGGTCATGAGCTATCACTCCACACTCATTACAAAGACTGGCGATAGCAGTGTTGGGGAGGAAGTGGAGTCCTGGCAGAATGGTGAGGCCATCCTACTTCTGTAACATGAGGGCCTGCTCATTGGGGTTTCTGTCCCACCTGGTCCCCCAGCCATTTAGTCCCAGAGAAAATCACACAGAGAGTCTGCATTAATTATAAACTGATTGGCCCATTAGCTCAGGCTTCATATTAGCTCTTATAACTTATGTTAGCCCATTATTCTAGTCTATGTTAGCCACATGGCTCAGTACCTTTTTCAGTGGGGCAGGTCACATTTTACTTTTTCCATGATCTGGGCAGAACTCAGAGGAATGGGCTTCCTCCTTCCTAGAATTCTCCTGTTCTCATCACCCTGTCTCTACTTCCTGTCTGGTTGACCCGCTTATACTTCCTGCCTGGCCAGTCAGCGTTTATTTAAAACATGATTGACAGAATACAGACAATTCTCCCACACCATACTTCCTTGGCAAGTTGTTCAGGAGTTTCTTACAAACCAAACACATATCTACCACCCTTGCTCCCACCGTCTACATAAGTCTACCCACAGTAAACAGAAGCATCACATTCACAAAAGGACACATGGAAAAGTATTCACAGCCCCTTAACCATAACAGTCCAAACAGGAAAAGAGGAAACAACTCAACTATCCATTAATGGGAGAATTGGGAGAAGGAAAAAAAATCAGCAAGGACCATGCTGTGACTGCTACACTCAGCCACGAGGAAAGACAAAGGCTGGAGTCAGACAGCAACACAGATAACTCTTGAAGGCATCTTTAACCAAGATGCGAGAGTAGGTATCTATTGGCTATGGAGTATCTTGGAAGTAGACTGTTTCCCTAGCCTGCATGTGAATCTGGATTCAAATCGGAAATGCTTTCCCTAGGCTCAGGCATTTGAACATGTGATTTCCCCCTACTGTTGGCAATGCTGTGGAAGACTTTAGAAGTCTGGCCCGACTGGAGGAAGTAGGTCATTGGGGGTGGGCTTTGAGAGGATGCAACCTCACTCTACTTCCTGTTTCCTCTCTGTTTCAGCTTACCATTGAGGATGTGAGTTCTCAACTCCCTGCTCCTGTTGCCATGCCTCCCTCATGCTGCTATACCTCTGTTCCATGATGGACTCCTCCCCTCTGGAACTATAACCACAAATAAACTCGTCCTTCAGTTGCCTTACATGGTGTTCACAACAGAAAAGTAACAAACACAATGCTGTGGCCAGGTGACAGGGATATAGAGCTTTGAGGGTGATGGGAACGTTATTGGCCCAGAGACTTACAGCACTGGAAAGTCACTGGTCACCAAAAGTCAACGTGACTCCGTAGTTCTTGAGTTTGTTGTCTCACACTGATAATAATTAAAACCATGCACAAATGGGAACAAGTGATGTGAAAACAAAGTTTTTTAAGAAAAATCAAAGAAATATAAAAGAAACTCCAGAGAGAAGGAGGATCCAAAGAGAAGGAAAACAGCTAAGCTGCTAGGCTAGGTCTTTTTAACGGGACTTACAGCAGAAACCGGAAGTGTTGAGCTGATTCCTATGGAGACTGCCTAAATCTCAGAGCTTGGGGCTGGAGAGATGGCTCAAAGGCTAAAAGCAATTGTGCTTGCAGAGGAGGTTGGCTCTATTC